CGCGCGCGCACACACACACACACACACACACACACACACACCTAGAAGCTAAGCAGTGGGTCGCTTGGGTTCCTCTGGCCTGTGCTTGCTGGCAGGTGGGGATCATCTGGACTGTTGGTTTGATCCAGCAGTTGCTGGCACTCTTCAGGGACTGGCTGCCCTTCCTTGACCTGGCCCTCTGCCCCTTCAGAGGCCTTGCCGCCAGACGCGCTTATCAGCAAGATCGCCATCCAGGGCTCCCTAGCTGTGGGCAAGAACTGGTTATTGGATGAGCAGACCAGCCCTCCCACGAGGCTGCGCTACTCTTACCGGGTCATCTGCAGTGACAACTACTATGGGGACAGCTGCTCACGCCTGTGCAAGAAGCGTAATGACCACTTCGGCCACTACGTGTGCCAGCCAGATGGCAGCCTGTCCTGCCTACCCGGCTGGACTGGGGAGTACTGCGAACAGCGTAAGCAGCCAAGCTCCTGTCTACCTGGTGTGTGTGTGTGTGTTGGAAGGGGGGGGGGTCCCTGGAGCAAACACAGTGGCCTCTCTCCGGCCACAGCCTACCTCCCTCACTGAGCAGGTCTGGGCTGCCCACTAGCTGGGCCTCAGGAACAGGTGGGGATGCTTAGGACAGGTGTGGACTGTGACCTCTCTCTTCCTAGTGCTCCTCCCCATTTTGCCAGAGTCCAAATGACCCTGTTACTGCATTCCATCCAGCTTGGATTCTCCTTCCCTGTGCCACTGTTTCCCTTTATGCCCCCATGGCTCCTCTGGGAGGCCAGGAGTGGGAAGTGAGCCCAGTAGAGCTGGGGGGGCAGCCCCAGGGCCAGGAGAGGGAGAGTCGGGCTTCAGAGTCCTTGGAATTCCACCCTCACCCAGCTCTGTTTTCTTTCCTCAGCTGTCTGTCTTTCTGGCTGTCATGAACAGAATGGTTACTGCAGCAAGCCAGCAGAATGCATGTGAGTAGGGGACAGGAAGCAGTGAGGAGGGAACTGTCTCCTGGCCAAGCCCTCACCTCATGGTCAGCTTTTCTTTTTGCTCAACAGCTGCCGCCCAGGCTGGCAGGGACGCCTGTGCAACGAGTGCATCCCCCACAATGGCTGTCGCCATGGCACCTGCAGCATCCCCTGGCAATGCACCTGTGATGAGGGCTGGGGGGGCCTATTCTGTGACCAAGGTGAGTCAGGGCAAAGAGAGATGCAGAGGGCATGAGAGAGATGGGCACGGGGTGGGAACCAAAAGTGTCACAATTCTTACGTGGCCACCACTGACTTGGCTTTCCCAGTATCCTTTAAGGAGTTTGGGACTTTTAAGGATCCTGACAATTGGCCTAGAATGAGATTGTGGGTCCTTCTTGCTCAGGTGCTGGGGAGGCAGGGTGGCTGGTGAAGCCCAGAGGATGACAAGTTGGCAGCCTGGAAGTTGTACTCAGATTCCAGCAAGGCCAAGGAGGAGGGATGCTGGGCTTGGTTCCTCTTTCTACCTTGTAGTTACCTATTAACCCCCTAAGTGTTTGCTTACCTGCCAGCCCTGTTTGAGCAGCTCTCCCTCAAACAGCTGTCTGGTGGGGTGTGCCCACCAGCTGCCCCGAGGCTATGGGTGAGCTGCGCCTCTGGGCGGAGTGACATCTAACCGACTTCTTGCTGTGGGCAGAAACAGCCTCCCTTGTTCTTCCCCATTTGCACTTGTCAGGCAGCTGCCTGAGCCCACAGTCATGTTCTGGGTTTGGGGAGGGTGGCTGGTCACTCTTCTGGCTGTACAGGAGTCTGCCAGCCCCAACCGTGCGCGGGGGGCGGGGGGGGGGCGCGGAGGGAGCCTCTTCTCCTTCATCCTGGTAGCCAGCTGCAGCATGTGTCTCCCATTTTCAGGGTCAAATAGGGTGGCTGCTGCCATGGAGACACCAGCACCAGGCTTGGGAGGGGTGGGCAGGGGGCTTGCCAGGATAGAAAGAACTTGTCTAGGCTCTGACTTGCTGGCAATGAGGGGCTTGGAATTCAGCCCCTGTATTGTGTGTGTGTGTGTGTGTGTGTGTGTGTGTGTGTGTGTGTGTGTGTGTGTGTTGCTTTCTCCCTCCTCTCCCCTACCCCAAACACACATACACACCTGGTTCCTGCCCATTCTCTTTCCTCTTCCCACATTTGCTCCCAGGTGACACGGTCATATACTCATCATATGTAAACATAGCCCTTACAGTCTCTATATTTGCTCTACATTTGCTCCCTCCCTGTCCTTCTCAAATAAGAAAACAAACACTTATGTTTCAAAATACTCTCGTAACACATTTCCCTTTTTAAAATACCTGGCCGCTACTTACAGTGGCGTTGGCCTCTCTCTACCATTTCTACCTGTTAAAATTTTATCCCTCCTTCCTGGTGAATCTCAGCTGCCCCTCCTCCCTGAAACCTTTTCTGACTTCCCCCTCAACATGTGGCCTTGCCATCCACTCCTCTTCTTTCTCTTCATTCTACCTTGGTGGCCAGTGGTTGTAAGCTTCCTAGCAGGCAATTGTCCCATCTGTGGTTTCTTTCAACTTTGGCTGCTTGCACCAGTCAGATGTGGTTCAAGGTGCCTTGATGTACATGACTGGAGGAGGAGGGAGGGTAGTTGGGTCAGGACAACTTTGAGTTGAAGCCTCTGGGCCAAACACCGACAGTGAACCTGCACTACATGGAGCCTGGAGGGAGGGAGCATCCTACAGCCCTCCTCAGCTGGCTGGTTCCTGCCTCCACAGATCTCAATTACTGCACCCACCACTCTCCATGCAAGAACGGGGCAACGTGCTCCAACAGTGGGCAGCGGAGCTACACCTGCACCTGTCGCCCAGGCTACACTGGTGTGGACTGTGAACTGGAGCTCAGCGAGTGTGATAGCAACCCTTGTCGCAATGGAGGCAGCTGTAAGGTGAGCCTCAGGCTGGCGGTGATCTGGCCAGGCAGTGCCCAGGCTTGCCTACCCCAGGCGGCCAGTGGACGTGCAGCCATGGGCAGACATTGTAGGCAGGTGGGGTCTAGCGCCTAGCATCCTTACCCCCCAGGGTCTGACTTTTGCCCCTTTTTGGTCTCTCTCCAGGACCAGGAGGATGGCTACCGCTGCCTGTGTCCCCCGGGCTACTATGGCTTGCACTGTGAACACAGCACTTTGAGCTGTGCAGACTCACCCTGCTTCAATGGGGGCTCTTGCCGGGAGCGCAACCAGGGGGCCAGCTATGCCTGTGAATGCCCCCCCAACTTCATGGGCTCCAACTGTGAGAAGAAGGTGGACAGGTGTACCAGCAACCCATGTGCCAATGGTGAGTCTTATTGCCTTGCTAACCTAGTGGGCCAGTCTTAGGACTGAGAGCGCCTTCTGGTGAGGGAGGGTCAAGAGAGGAGCGAGGCCGGGTCTGTCCCTCTAGGCAGGCTGAGATGGTCCCAACCTGCTCTGGACAGTGAAGAGCCTATGTAATCATCTGGCTGGCTTTGGAAGAGGAGCAGGTGGGCAGTGGGTGCAAGCTTTAGGAGGAGGAGTGATGGGTACCCTGCTTCACTTCTTATCCTCACATCAGAGCCCTCTCCTGGCTCTGGGTGGCCTCTGGCCCTCCCCAGGAAGTCCTGGGCTCGGGAGAGGGACATGTGAGATCTTGTGTCCCTCCTAGAGGGAGGCTGGCACAGTCAGGGCCCTACTATTGAAGGTGTCACCTTGCCCCGTGGCCATTTGGAACCTGGCATGGCACAAGACATCTGAAATGCTCAGCATCTTGGGGCAAGTTTGATCTGAGTTTGAGCCCGGTGTTGGGTGTAGAGATTACTTAAAAATCAAATCTTAAAAAATTTTAAAAATAAAATCTTCAGCATCTTTTAGGGGTGCAAGTCATGCTGGTTATCTTTGTCTCCTTGGCCTCCTAGTGACCTTCCATGAGGCAGGCAGATAGCTCCATGCAGGAGAGAAGCCTCAGGAGCTGGAGAGGAGTTGGAAGGGCTGAGATGAAGCCTGTTCTCTAGCTAATCACTGTGTTAATTCTATTAACTGATAATTACATTTATTTATTTGAGCATTTACTATATAGTAGGCATGTGCCCCTCCCTTCATGCATCATTCTACCTAGCCCTCAGAGATCTCCTATGGAGGGGATAGCATTACACTTTAATTTAACAAGTGAGGAAACTGAGGCTTAGAATAAGGCAAAGCAACAGGTGCCAGGTTCCCTTCAGCTTGAGGGAAACAGCTGAGATTCAAACCCAAGCATACCTGTTCGATTCTACTGTGAAGCTCTGTAAGATGCCAGTAGTTTTTATACATGAGCTCACTGAGGCATACAGAGCCAGAGGTCAGGTCTCCTGACCCTTGGTACAGTGCTCTCTGTAGTGGGATCTGGGGTAGGGCACTTACCCACTGCACCAGGGGGGTTCCAAGGTGATTGCTGACTTGTGCCCCATATATACCCACAGGGGGCCAGTGCGTGAACCGTGGTCCGAACCGCATGTGCCGCTGCCGTCCTGGATTCACAGGCCTCCACTGTGAACTCCCCATCAGCGACTGTGCCCGCAGCCCTTGTGCCCACGGCGGCACTTGCCATGATCTAGAGAATGGGCTCATGTGCACCTGCCCTGCTGGTTTCTCTGGCCGGCGCTGCGAGGTGCCTATTCCTGGTGACGCCTGTGTCTCAGGACCCTGCTTCAATGGGGCCACCTGCTACCCTGGCCTCTCCCGGGACAGCTTCGTCTGCAACTGTCCCTATGGCTTTGTGGGCAGCCGCTGCGAGTTCCCTATGAGCATGCCACCCAGCTTCCCCTGGGTGGCTGTCTCTCTGGGCGTGGGACTGGTGGTGGTGCTGGTGTTGCTGGGCATGGTGGCAGTGGCAGTGCGGCAGCTGCGACTTCGGCGGCCTGATGATGGTGGCAGGGAGGCCATGAACAACTTGTCAGACTTCCAGAAGGACAACCTGATCCCTGCAGCCCAGCTCAAGAACACAAACCAGAAGAAGGAGCTGGAAGTGGACTGTGGCCTGGACAAGTCCAACTGTGGCAAACAACAGAACCACACACTGGACTATAATCTGGCCCCGGGGCCTCTGGGGCGAGGGACCATGGCGGGGAAGTATTCCCACAGTGATAAGAGCTTAGGGGAGAAGGCGCCACTGAGGTTACACAGGTGAGCAGCGCCTGGAGGCCCAGGGCCTGGCCACAGGGCCCTGCATGGTACTCCCCGGGCTCCCCAGGGCAGGCAGAAGGCTGGCACCAGGCCCCTGACTGCTTTTAAACAAACAGGGAGTTTTGCCACTGACAGAAAGCTCCTCCAACAAGATTTCTGCCAGGGGTCCTTCATGCCTCTTCCTCATGCATTCATTCATCCATTCATTCACAAATGTCAAATGTCCACACTGTGTCTCTTCTGACTTCATCTTTCCACTGCATGGCTTGCCTGTAGAGGCAGTGCTGGCTTTTTTCAGGCCTGAGACCTTGGTAAGGTTGGGGGTCTTGTGGCTCTCATAAGGGGCTGTTCCTAACTGCTCCCCCAGGCTAGCATTGGGCATCCTCGGTCCCTGTGTCCTCTCAGAGCCACCCCTGCCAGGGCCCTTTGGCTCTCCATCATCCAAGTTAGCGCTCCATCTGCCCCCCCATCCCTCTCCCATCCTTCCCTCACCGGCCTGTCTTGTGTTCCCTCAGTGAAAAGCCAGAGTGTCGGATATCAGCGATATGCTCCCCCAGGGAATCCATGTACCAGTCTGTGTGTTTGATATCAGAAGAGAGGAACGAATGTGTCATTGCCACAGAGGTGAGTGCTGGGCTCGCCTTCCCTTCCAGCGTGTCCCCACCTGCCATTTGGGGATGGGAAAGAGGCCTGGTTACTTTCAACCCCCGGGTGGGTCAGAACCCCTCCTTGGCAGGCCAGGTTCAGTGGCTCTTGGGTCCCGGCTGGCCTCGTTGCCACAGAGGGTGTGAAACAGGAGCTGGGCCTAGCTCCTCTTGCTATGTTAGTGCTGGGCTGGGCAACCACGGCACCTGGCCAGCTCCCCGGCACTACTTTCAAGCAGTTGGTGAGAGTGTGCCCTTCCTGCCCCGTCTTGCTGCTTCCTCCACCGGCCCACCTCACGAACACAGGCTCCCAGGCAGTGCATGTATCAGGGCAGAAGTCTGGGAAGGGCTGCCCCACCTTCTTCTCTTTACCCCAGCTGGCTGAGTGGCTTCTCTCAGGGAGGCCCAGGGTAGCCTTGGAGGCAGTGCCAGTGCTCCAGGGTAACCTACCTCCCCACTTTCCACGTGATCCCCAGGTATAAGGCAGGAGCCTTCCCAGGACATCCCAGCTTTGCCCCAGCAGCTGGATCTTCCTTCTGCATTGTTTACATTGCATCCTGGATGGGACATTTCTTAATATGCAACGTGCTGCTCTCAGGAGGAAGAGGGAATGGCATGACCTGGACAGACTGTGAACTTGCCAAGAGACGCAGTACCCTTCCACGCGTTGGGGTGTCTGTCTGGCATCAGCTTGGCGGCCGTGCCAGCCAGGGGAACAGAGAGGAGAGGTGCCACTGGGACCTGCCCTGCCAGCTGTGGCCTTCAGAGGGCTCCTCTGGGGATCTGGCCTCTGTTCCAGAGGGAGAGGCTGTGGTCCCCTGGGGCCTGGAGCTGCTGTGGCCTCCACTGGCATCTGTGTTTCCAAAAGTGCCTTTGGCCCAGGCTCCATGGTGACAGCTGGGTCCAAATCAGAGAGGAGAGAGGAGGCCAGTATGGGCAGGGCCATCTGTGGGCCAGGATACCACCAGGTGCGGCTCTTGGCAGGAGTTGCCCTGCAGGTGAGGTGAGCGCCTGAAGCGGGAGGAGCACTTTCTGCCCCGTGCCTGCAACCTCTGCATGTGGGCCTTGCTCATAACTCCGCTCCAGCTTCTCCCTGGCCAGGGCCCTCTGGGAAGGGCTGTTGGTAAGACTCATTTGGCTTCCACAGCCTCCGGCCTTGCGTGCCTCTGGGTTCCTGTGAGCAGACAGGTGGAGGGCATGCCCCATCTGTCAGCCAGGGACACCAGGCCCAACTGGGGAGCTCAGGGCAGTGATGCTGGAAATTCTAGCGAGGGAGAAGTGAGGTGCTGTTGCCGCCTAGGCCCTTTCGTCCCTCAAACCATTCCTACAGCCTTGAGCCTACACCCACTACTGCCCCCAGACCGCCCTTGAAGCCGATCTTCAGAAATCAATAATATGAGTTTTTATTTTGTTTTTTTGTAGTTTATTTTGGAGTCTAGTATTTCGATAATTTAAGAATCAGAAGCACTGACCTTTCTACATTTTATAACATTATTTTGTATATAATGTGTATTTATAATATGGAACAGACGTGTACAGGAGTTTATTACTTCTTGGGTCCTGTCTTTGTGATGGCAGAGTGGGAATCCTCTCTCTATCCTCTCTGACGCCCCTTCTCATATTGCTGCTGGCCGCCCTGCCAGAACCCCTAGGACCTGTGCATGCACTTGGGCTTGGCCTGGCGGGCTCCTTCCAAGTCCTTGCAGAGCCCCGTCTCACCATCCAGTCCGAGGCCTATGCCAGCCTTCCCCGCCTGCTGGCTTTCCCCCTGTGCTTCCACCATAACTTGAGGGATATGCCCCCTGCCCTGAATTATCCTCCTTTCTTTCCTTAAGCCTGAAAGTTGTGGGGCTCCCTAGTCAGCCTGGGAGATACAGGAATTTGGGGAAATTCCTGTTTTCCCCTTTTCAAAAGGATTCACTTATTGGACAATGGGGTCTCTGAACCATAATGACATCTGGGTCCTTTCTCCTGCCATTGCAGGGTTTTAGATGGACGGGCACCTACATACTCTTTTCTCAGTCCAGTAGGGCACTGGTCTTGGTGGGGAGGGCCTTACCTTAGGTCTGCACTCCTTGCAGCTGGGCAAGGGTGCTGAGTCTGGACACCTGGTCCGCCCAGAGCTGCAGGAATTTATTGAAGACTGCAGGGAGAGGAGGAGGAGGTAGCCTTCCCTGGGACCAGGTTTCTCTGGCTGAGGCACTAATGAGCGAGTTTCAGTCTCTACTTCATGTCTGTCTTCCTCTAAGGTGCAGGATGGTCCTAGGGGTGGTCCCGAGGGGGCCACAGTCCTCTCTCTACAGCCACAGGCATACAGCATGGAGAATAAATGACGAAAAAATTGAGCTACTGGCAAAAAGCCAAGCAGATGCTCCCAGCTCAGCCTGTCCACAGTAAAGCAACATAGGCCTACCAGATGCTCCCCATGGAGTCCAAGTGTGTGCAGTGCCCTCTTGCAGTGGGCTCTCGACCTCCCTGACCTGGGAGCTTATGCCAGAGACTTGGGAGCAAGGGACCTCAGCTCACCCACACTCACCCACACGCTCCAAGCCTCACTCTTGCTCCCTGTTCCCCTCATTGCACACACAGGGTATCAAACAGGAAAGCATTCAGGGAACCGTTCCCACAGCCTGAGCCGGCAGCAGGGGGAAGAACAACACGACCTCACTCTTCCTGCCCAAAATGAAACAGGAAAGCAGCTCCCGGGCCCTGGGGGCTGGGGAAACTGGGCTGGGACACAAGGCAGATGACGAGGCTCCCATGTGGGGGACAGGTAGGACACCCGCGAGCCTGCACGTCCACACAGCCAGGCTGTGCTGAGCTTCACCAGCAGTCAGCCCCTCTGAGAAGAGCCTTGGAGGGTAGCTGACTAGCCAGACCCACTCACCGGCTCTGATACCCCCTAGCCAGGGAGCTGGATGAGCCCACCACATAGGCTTTCTGGGGAAAAAGGGGATCTAAGCACAGGTTCGGATTCAGCAGCTCCAACCTGTATCCCCACTTCTAGTGACATAGAAGAAGCAGGGCCAAGCAGCTGGGGTGTGAACAGGCCACAGCAGAAGCCCTCCTATCCCTAGCCTGGAGGTCACGCCCTGAGGGTCCAGCCCCTTCTCATAGGTAACCCAAGACTTTCCTGATGGAGTCTTCAGGTATACAGGAGAGGTCCCAGGCTTGACAGAAACAAAGCCAAACAGAGCACTGGGAAATGCTCTCCATGGTTTAGCAAATGCCCGTTTCATTCGCCTGAGTATTTCATAAGAGAAATCAGAGTTCAGCGGTTCCTTAACAGGCTGGAGGCAGTGCCCAGCCCAAAGGCTAATCTGGCCCCATGGTGACCTCCAGCTCTGGGGACAGCTGCTTTTCCAGGGCCCACTGGCTCCTAACCACCTGCATCTCTCTGTGGGGAGATGAGTCAGTAAGAGGCTGTGACCGGAGGAATGCCTTTATCCTACTTGTTAAACCAGGGCCCCCTCCCCTGCCTTAGCACCAAGGTCAGACTGGTTAAGGGGTAGGAAAAAAGGACAGTGGCTCCTATCCGCCCCCTCCATCCTAGGCTAGATAAGGCCATCACACTCAGGCAGTAATGGATGGATGCTACATCTCTGATGGGGACCCCCACACAAGGCTCTCCTGTCCCTGCATCTCTCCCAGCCCTTCCTAAGCAGGATCGGTGAACCCAGCCCTCCGTCCCACGTGGCCTGCCGCATTCCGGGAAGGGGATGGAAGTGATTCACTCAGGGAACTGTGACTGTCCCTTCCCGGGGAGAGGATGCGACTTCCCCGGGTGGCCGCGCCCAGGGCGCACGGTTCGGCCCCTTGGCCCAGCCGTATCCCGGCAGACCCGGAGCCCCGCGCGGCGGAAAATGCAGGTGCGGCGCTCTCGCTGTGTCTGCACTCCACCTGCCGCAGCCGCCGCCGCCGCCGGGCGCCCCGGAGGTCCCGCAGCTCCCCGCCCCCCGCGCTCTTTGTTACAGCCCGACTTCCTGTTTGCGGCCTCCCGACCCCGGCTCAC